AGGGAAGAAGAAGAAGAAGAAGAAGAAGAAGAAGAAGAAGAAGAAGAAGAAGAAGAAGAAGAAGAAGAAGAAGAAGAAGAAGAAGAAGAAGAAGACTGCAAAAAGCGTCTTACGGCCAGTCTTCACACTTACAACTGTCATAGCATCCACATGGTCACACAGTCAAAATCTGGGCGCTTGGCAAATCGGTATGTCTTTACAACAATTGCAGCGTTCCCAGCTGGCTTTTCTGACAAGCAAAATCAATGAGAGAAGCTGGATTTGTTTAACGACAGTATAATTCACTTAACAACCACAGTGATTCTTCAACCATTGTGGCAAAAAAGATCTTGAAATCAGGCACGACTTCCTTTAACTCTTTGCTCCGCAACAGAAATTCCGGTCCCAATTTTGAGCATAAGTTGTGGCCTACCTGTCATCCATCTGGTCCAGGTAACACACACAAACACACACACAGTCCCAAGAAAGTCAAATTAAACAAGTTTTGTAGCTTCTGCAAACCCCGGCAGGAAGCCTGCCTTTGATCTGGCTGTTTTTGTGCGAATAGGGGCAACATGTGAAGTCCGTGTGAGAACACACCCCTGTATTTTGGTTTGGAGACAGCTTCTCTCTCTTCTTCTCTCTCCCTCCTTCTCTCTCTCCTCTCTATCTCTCTATCTCTCTTCCTTCTTTCTCTCTTTCCTTCTCTCTCTCCTTCTCTCCCTCTCCTCCTTCTCCCTCTCCTCTCTCTCCTTCTCTCTCTCCTTCCCCTTCTCTTCTCTTCTTCCTCCCTCTCCCTCCTCCTCTCTCTCCTCTCTCTCTTCTCCCCCTGTCTCCCCCTCATCTCCCCCCTCTCTCTCTCCTCTCCGTCTCTCCTCTTCCCCTCTTCTCTCTCTTTTCTCTCTCTCCCTCCCTCCCCTTCTCTTTTCTCTCTCTCTTCTCTCTCCCTCCCTCTCCCCCTTCTCTTTTTTCTCTCTCTCTCTCCTCTCTCTCCCCCTCCTCTCAGAAATGCAAGCAAAAGTGCCTATTTTTAGCAATGTCTCTTTTCATGCAGCCACAGCCCTCCAGATGTGGCTCTTCTCTCACCGTAGGGATGCTCTTCAATCCCTTGCAGTTACACATCCTGTATTCTTTGGAAATACTGAACGTATATAAACGAGGATCTTTTTTAAAAGCAAAAATCGGCAGCAAGGATTACACTCTGTTGTTCTTGAGAGCACATCATAACTGAAAGAGATGCTCTCAAAGAGGTGGCTGGAGAAAAATATATGCAAAGCACACAGATCTATAAATGAGGAGTTTGCTTGGTTCACTTTTTTAAAAAAGAATTTTAATGGTGGCACATTTTCCCACGATGGTTTTGCAAGCAAGAGACCATCCAGCTCCATCCATGCTAAGAAGACATTGGAAAAAGCTTCTGGTTTTAGTTTTTAAGCTGCCCAGGACCATGTTATAAATGCCTTTCAGTTTTGAACATACAATTTGCAAAGGATGCCAAAGAGTAGACATCTCTTTTGTCCTCCTAATTGGTTGTTTCTGCTCAGTGGCCTGTCACGAATAGCGGCCGACCATGCTGAAGGTAGCAACGGGGAAAATACAGATACTCCTTCACTTACAACTACTACAATCGAGCCCAAAGTCTCTGTTGCTAAGTGAGACAGTTGTGAAGGGAGCTTCATCCCATTTTATGACCTTCCTGGCCACATGCGTGTAGTGACAGCGCCGATCCAGTTTTTGGATCCCACAGCTTCAAGAAAGTGAGCTTCAGTCTTCATTGCATGACCTATTGTTCTGGATGAGGTCGGCCTGGCCAGATCCAGAGGTGGTATTCTGCTGCTTCGCCCCAGTTTGGGGGAATCGGTAGTGGTGGCAGTGGGAGGCTCCGCCCACCCATTGAGACATCATCACAGATGATCTGCGCATGCGCAGAAGCACTGTGTGCGAGCACTCCTGCTTCCGAACCGATAGCGAAGATAAGAGGATTTCATGCTTGCCCAGATCCCCAAGGGGGGGGAGAGGAAGGAGGGAGAGTGAAATATTGAGGGAGGTTGAAGAATCAAATTATGGGATTTGAGACAAGGCACCTCAGAAAGATTTTGCAAAAAGTCTGGCAGGAGATTGTTGCAAGAAAACAATCCGGTCTGGTTCCAAGCCTGGAAAAAAGATGCCGGAAATAAAACAGAGGCCGATTTGGAAAGGACTCTGCCTATCGATGAGCAGAACCGACCACAGCATGCGGTTTTGGGACAGCTGACCAATTTGTTGAATGCGTGGATGGATCTTTATAGGTTGCTGTGACTTTGAAGTTTGAACTGTTCTGGGGATTGTGCAATGAAGGGGCTTTTTGTGTCTCTTGCTATTTCAGTGGTAGTGGTATTCTGACTGAGGCTTCCCGAGAGCAGGAAGCCAACTCCTTGTCCCGACAAAAACCCCTGTTATTAATTGACAGAGAATTCTGCTCATTCACATCCAGGAAAGTCTTTCAAGGGGGGATTTACAGTCACAGACCTTATCTGGCTTGGAGAGCTGCCAGGCTGATCTCTGCAAAACTTGGCCAGGAGTCTCAGAGAGTCACGAACCAATTAAGTGAACTAATGGTCTCCTGCAAACTCCACTCCCCTTTCGCTCCACTTTTATTTCCTCTGAGAGGGGCCATTCATTGTCCACCTGTGGCCTTCCTCCCAANAAGAAGTGGTTGGATAACCATTTGTCTGAAGTGGTGTAGGGTTTCCTGCCTAAGCAGGGGGTTGGACTAGAAGACCTCCAAGGTCCCTTCCAATTCTGTTATTCTATTCTATTCTATTTTATTCTATTCTATATACCAGAGTTAGAGGATTTCCCCTTAATGCCAGGGGACAGAAACCTTCCCCGCTCCCCACATCCATATACTTTTCCTTTGGTGATGTGTGCTTTTCCTTTCCTCCAGAATGCCTTTTGGTTCAGCCTGGGAGGATGCACCTTCTTCCTTCTTCCTGGTATGTTTCTCGCCCTCAAGATGATGAAGCATTTTCGTCCAATTCGGCACAAATTAGTGTAAGTGACATTACTGCGAAAGATGGGATACCGATGGCTCTTCACGTTACTTGTTGTTGCTGTTGTGATGGTTTGTCCCACAATCTAGACTGGATTTGGCATTTTTCTATTCGCCTGTTGAGCTCTTCCAAAGCTCTTCCAAAGGCCAGGGATAGGCACATATGGGTGTTCGATGGGGTTAAAGAAGGGGTGAAATGCTATCGGTTCAGTAAAAAATACTACCGGTTCGGCCAAACTGGTAGCTCCAACGATCAGCTGTGCAACAATCAGCTATGCTGCGTGATTTATATTCACTAGAAAGCAGGAAATCCTGCTTCCTAGCGAATCTAAATTGTGTGGGAGAGCTGTTTCCCCCTCCCTTGCTGTTCCACTTAGCTTAATCCAACTTTTTCAGCGCATGCGTACCAAGCGCACATTTGCGCACGCAGCGAACCAGTAGCAAACGTCAGAGCATTTCACCACTGGGTTAAGGGTGCGGTATTGTTGCAGGATGTAAGCAGTTCCATAAAGCTGCCTTTTGTAATTGACTGGTGGTGAATTTGTCAATGCCGATGGAGCTCCAGTTGTTTTGGGATTGTACCCAAGGCACCTGTCATTATTTCTACTGCATTTGCTTTCTTTTACCACCTTTGTTCTCATTCTATTCACAAGTCTTTGTATTTCATGATTTTTCTCCAGTTCTTTCTCTTCTATTCTGTTGTCTCCAGGTATTGCCATGACCATTATCCTAACTTTTTTGTGGGGGTTTCTTATCAACAATTGTTAAATTTGGCGTGTTATGTGGCAGATGCCTGTCCCTTTGAATTCTAAACTCCCTGGGCACTTGAACAAGTTTGTTTTCTACTATTTTGTGGTCCCACCAGTTCTTGCTTTCAGACAAATGCTATTTCTTGCAGATATTTTTATTATTACTAATACGGACTCTATTTCTAGACTATCCTTCATTCCTAGCTCAGCATCAACTTATCAGGGAAGAGCGTACAATGAGGGGGGAGGGGCGGACAACAAAAGTTGCAGCAATAAAAGGTGTGTGTGTGTGTGTGTGTGTGTGTGTGTGTGTGTGTGTGTGTGTGTGTATCGAATTATCCTAAAAATACAAGTTCCAGGTGTAGTTATAAAAGAAAAGACAGACATTGCGATCTCAATTACTTAAAATATATAACCCACTTAACTTTCGTTAGCCTCTGCTAACATCGTCAGAGTGTAAAAACTTCCATTGAAGAGATATCTTCCTTTATCCATCATTAATCCGTCATTGGCCATTGCATGCATGATAGGCCCATCTACCCGCTTCCCACGTGTAACTAGCTTTGTCATTTTTACTTCAGACATGTTAATCGATGGAGGCTTAGCTCCTATTCCTTCCTCCCTATCGAGCAGAGCTTGAGCTGCTCATCCCCAGGGAATAACGCTGAGCTGCCTGATGTTGTTTTAACAGCATTCTCTCCAACTCCTTCCCTTGAGATTAAATATAAAGGTATATATACATATACATACACACACACACACACACACACACAAAACACACACACACACATATATATATAAAACCTAGCTCTAGCCTACATACAGTTATCTGAATAGCTCAGCAGGGCATCATCACTTTCAAAAGGACGACTGCCCAAATGCCTTAACTTTCTCTTTTGCAAAACTTCACCGACTCAAAAACAATTGAGAAGGTTGAGAACACTCCAGGACTTTCCCTTGTCATCTTTTTTTTGGGGGGAGGGGAGGCACCAAATTGAGTGTCCTGGGAGGTAGGAGTGTCCTAAGTGTCTATGGAGATTCCCAGTCCTGCAGGTCCTTGTTGTCCCAAAGGTGCTTTTTCAAGAGGCAACTGGGCTTTCTGGTTCTTCTTTGATGACGTTTCACTTCTCATCCAAGAAGCTTCTTCAGCTCTGACTGGATGATGAGGAATGGAAGGATTTATATTCCTTGCAGACAGCTGGTCAATTGCATCCACCTTGAGGACACAGATAAAGGAGATTTTCCGTCATCCAGGTCATGGCTGTCCCAAAGATGGTTCCAGAAAATCCAGTTGCCTCTTAAAAAAGCATCTTTGAGACACCCCCTCCCCTTCCTAAGGAACAACTCACCTCTCATTATCAGGCTAAATGCCCATCCTGTTGAACTTTAGGAGGGGGAAAACTACTGTTCATTTTTTAGCTATCATGTTCCAGACTATGGGGGAAAAATGAGTTCCCCTTTTGTCACTGTCTTCCTGTACTGTACTAGTTTTTGGTAGTTTCAGTTTTTTTAAAATTTATGGAAGCCATCCAGAGTCTTGCAGTGGAGATGGGAGGCGATATCAATCAAAGTAATGCATAAAGAAGGCACCCAGACTCACCTTATCAAGGAGACAGGTGACACATCAGTTGAATGAAAGAATGAATGAATGAATGAATGACCCAGTCATTCTACAAGCCTTGAATGACTTCTTGCTCAGTGGGATATATAGCAGAAGTCCCCAACCTTGGCAACTAAGCCTGGAGGACTTCAACTCCCAGAATTCTCCAGCCAGCGGGCCTATAGAGTACATCCCTGGCCTATAGTGTACAGTCAAAAAAAGCCAAGGGGGCAGCCACAATGCTGCAATGGAAGCTCCACACACTTTTGATGGGCACAATAATGCCCATGCGCCACATATGATGATAATGTTTTGGCCACTGTTTCAACTTTTTTTTTTACTGCAGCGTGCAGACATTCCCCGTCTCCTTAAGAAAATAATAGATTTTGCTTTCTCTTCTGCTCCGTCTCTAGTTCTACTGGATCAGATGAAACATTTCCCTTCCACATCCCACGGGTCACGTCTCTGCGGCTGTAAGAAACTCCCTGATCTCCCCCTTCAGGATGACCAGGTGAGGGGGCCGACGGCTGCTCCTCCCAGGAACTGCAGAATTCTCAGTGGGTTGACGGGCAGGACTGTTTCCAAGGGATCCTTGCCGAAGTCCAACTCCCAATGGTCCTTGCTGAAATTATAAAAAAGAATTTAACGATGCTCCAAACACAGATTGAGTTTGAAGTTTGAATGGCCCCAAAACTTGTAAAAAAACCCAACACTGGCTATTGGGATTTATCGGGATTTTTAGGACTATAAGACGCACCAGCATATAAGACACACCATGATTTTGAAGACATCATTTTTTTTTAACAAGACAACTTTTTGCACTCTGCACGCCTTGTTTTTTGCAAAAAAAGAGTGGGGGTGCATGCAGAGCTTTGGAAGGCTTGTAGAGTACTCCTGACAGCAGGGGGAGGGGCAAAAATGAGCAAAAACGGTCCATTTTTTGCTCAGTTTTGTCCTCCCTAGCCCCCAGGAGCACTCTACATGTGACTACGTGACTATGATTGCTCTGGTGTTTACTGTGGGGGTTGTCTTGTTTTTTTTGTCCACCATTCAGGTCACCTTGAAGTGGTTTATAAATTCATAAATAACAAGTAAATGTGTCCTGTCCTTCATTGGGAAAATGGAATTGAGAATTCAACCCTAAGTACAAAGGAATGCAAATGATTAAAAAAAGACCTTGGAGGTCTTCTAGTCCAGCCCCCCTGCTCAAGCAGGAGACCCTATACCATTTCAATCAATGAGAATAGAGCTGGAAGGGACCTTGGACATCCTCTACTCCAACCCCCTGCTCAAGCAGGAGACCCTATACCATTTCAGAGAAGTGGCTGTCTAGTTTCTTCTTAAAAACCTCCAGTTGAAGCACCCACAACTTCTGACATGCTGTTCCCCTGATAAATTGTCCTCACTCTTAGGAGGTTTCTCCTTAGTTCCATGTTGCTTCTCTCCTTGTTTAGTTTCCATCCATTGTTTCTTATCCTGCCCCTCCAGTGCTTTGGAGAATGATTTGACCCCCCCTTTATGTGGCAGGATTTAGAATGGTTGATGGGGCAGAGGAGGCATTTCTAATCACTAAGGGCTCTTTCTGCACCTAGGGCAGTGACGGTCAATCTTTTCAGTTCCGAATGCCAAAACTGGAGCAGCGTCCATGCGCGTTCAACCCGCACTGGAGTGCTAGAACCTGGAAGAGAGCAGCTGGCCGGGGCGCATGCTGGGCTCCATCGTGCACCAGACAACTGCTCTCTTCCGGGTTCCAGCGTGCACATGTGGGCAGTTACCTGGGTTTTGGGTTTCCTGGGCTCCAGCACGTATGGAAGATCAGCTGGCGATGGCACACATGCCTCCTCTCCCACGCGTGCCATAGATTCGCCATCGCAGACCTAGGAGGCGTTTTCTTTTAAAGGGTGAAGTGCCCCCAAAGGATTTCCAAGGTATAATTGCTTGGAGATAGTGCTGCCCACATCAGGAAGAGTCATCAGTGACATCCAACGTATTCAGCTGAAAGTAGTTTGAGACTTTAGGGATGTGATTTATTTCTGAAACTCCGAGAAGCACCAGAGCTAATCTCATTATTGCAAGGAACAAGCCACTTTTGCCGTGACCTCACTCCCAGGCGGGAGAGGAATTAGATAAACTTCTTCTTGAGTGCAAGCATCTAACTGTATATTCCCAGACTGTACCCATGTTGAAAATAGAACAGATATTTAAAATTTGCAGCCCTCCAAATGTTGCAATGTTCTCTCCCTCACACACACAATGAATTGGAGAAAGTGTGGGAATTCACAGATGTTATATATTAAGACTTATTGCAATGTAGAAAATAATTTGCAAAGACAATGTATGTTAAGCAACGTTGCAGACAAATATCAGGAATAAGGGGCAGCGGGTAATGGTTACGCACCGTGATGGCATTCAGGCAACGATAATCGCAACAGCGTCTCAGATCCCCGGTCTTCTTTTTGATGAACAAGACCGAGGCAGACAGTAGCGAAGATGAGGGCCGGATAAACCCCCGGGTGATGTACTTGGCCAGAAAGTCCTGCAATGCGGCCAACTCCGGCTCGGACATGGAGTACATGTGACCCACAGGGAGCTTCGCATCTGGTACCAATTCAATGGGGCAGTCATAAGGCCGGTGCAGCAGCATTTGGTCCGCCTCCTGCTCGCTGAAGATGTCCGGGAACTCCCCTAGGTCCGGTGGCATGGACACCCTGGGCGAGCTGAGCACCTGGCCTGCGCAGACGTGATGGGTGTGGTCGACACATTGCAGGGACGGGAACGTGACCAGGTTCTGAGACCAATAAATCTGAGGGTCGTGCGCCTGCAGCCAAGCCAAGCCCAGGACCACACACACACACACACACACACACACGTATTGTGTCACAACCCCTGGTATGCCCAAATATGCTGCTTCCCTTTTCTGTCTATCGGCTCACTCTGGGACCCATCCAGACAAAAAGCCATTTTTTTTATGTTGCCTTGTTAATATGTGTGTGTGTGTGTGTGTGTGTGTATACATACATATATATGGATATATTTCTTAGCATATATATATATATCTCAAAAAGGGCCATCAATCATCCGTATTCCTTACACTGTATTATATTAACAGGTTGTCGATGCGAAGGAGTTAGATGTTCTACGGCCCCCTCGCTAGACCGGGCATGGGCATAGCTAGTGCATGACTCATCCGGGGGCTTTCAAGAAGAGACTGGACTGCCATCTGTCAGAAATGGTGTAGGGTCTCCTGCTTGGGTGAGGGGTTGGACTAGATGACCTACAAAGTCCCTCCCAACTCTGTTAATCTGTAATCTCTCACAGTTACTGCTGCTGAACCAGGTATTCTGCCTATTCTGTACCTATCCGTTTGCCTTTTTTCTGCAGGAAAAAAACCACATTTTGCATCCAACCACATTTTGTTGGGTAGCACTCAACATTTCCCTTGCAGTTTTTCTCCTTAATCTGTTTTATTTGTCAATTCTGCTTGATCTTCTATTTTCATCTTCGTGTCTGTTGATCTTCAAACTGATCAACGAATTATTTTGCTTTTCCTATTTGTGTTTTAACTCCCTTCGAAGACTCTTCAAAAACCATCCACAAGTTATCTGCAAAACCCCTTAACTTTCTTAAGTTTATTTTTAGACCTTCACTGCCACAATCCTTTCATCTTGTCTCACATCCTGACTCAGAATTTCGAGAGCCAAAATAAACGAGAGAGGAGACTGTGCCATCCTTATGTTGTCCCTTTTTATATCTTGCAGGGTATTTTGCTAGATCAATTATTTGTGCTTTCTGTGAAGTTTAAATCAATCTCACCCATTTTATAAAGTTCTCTCCAAAATGGGTATCTTCCAAAATTTTGGACAGGAAAGCTCACTTCGATTGTCAAAGGGCTTCTTTGCATCTTAAGACAATCAATGTGGCTCGTTTTTCATTAAGTTGCTCAATTCCTAACATCTCAATTGGCTAAATATAAAGTTCTATACAGATGGTTAGTACCAGAAGGCATACTGATTACATGGCAAGAATTCTTAAAAAAAAAAATAGATTCCCTGGAAAAAGCTCAATAATTCTTTGAATGCCATTTTGTGACAAGATGAACAAGAAAGCAAAGAAGAGTTGGAAAGTAAAAGCCAAGAAGAAAATATAATAGAACAAAAAGAGAAGGAGAGAGAGGAAAAAAGGACACAGGAGATGGAGCAAGCGGAAAGGGGAGTTCAAAGAGAAACTAGAAACACCAGGAAACAAAACAAGAAAAAATGGAAGAAACTACAATAATTTCAATAAATATAAAGAGACTGAATGCACCAAGAAAAAGAATGCAAACCTTCATAAAATTATGAAAACTGGATATAGACGTAGTATGCCTTCAGGAAGTGCATATCAAAAAAGAAAATAGAAAACTATTAGAAAATCCAAAACTGGAAAAATTATATACATCACTAGCAGATAATAAATAAAGAGGAATTGCAACATATGTCAAAGAAAAAATAAAATCAAGTTGCTCCAAATATTCAAAAATGTCCAACTCATTTCTAACACTGGCTTTTAACTGGCTTTTAGATAAAAATCTACTTTGTTCCTCATAAATAAATTCTAGTGAAATTACGCTCAGTCTATCACCTGGTATGGTGGTGAAAAAAATTGGTCCTCTTGAAGGGTTAATGGCTATACTGGCTTATACTGAACAAAACTCCGCACTGATGACAGGGAAGGGCATCTGGCCATTAAACACTCTGCTGGCTCCATTCAGTTGTTCAGACTCTACCTGGCAAGGGAAGAAGAAGAAGAAGAAGAAGAAGAAGAAGAAGAAGAAGAAGAAGAAGAAGAAGAAGAAGAAGAAGAAGAAGAAGAAGAAGAAGAAGAAG